CCTAGATTATATAAAACGGCATAAACGGTCCACCCTTATGCTCTTGAAGGTAAGGGCTAGATTCGTCGGGAGTACCGTGCCCATAGTTCCCGCAGGCCGTTCAGGACTGGAACAAGGTCAGCCTTTCATCCTCTCAGCACGGCTCTCACACCTTAGGAAGTAGATAGTAGAAGGGGTTGGAGAAGAGACGGAAACAAAAAATGGAGAGGGAAAAGACCATGCAAAATTAGTTGAGTCAAGGGCTGAGGCCCTAGGCAGGGGAGATCCCTGTATTGGGTCTCAGTCTTCGTCTCCTAAGCCCCCCCACGACAACAATGGGCAAGGGATTGGGGGGGTATACATATACATACTTATATACATACGTGTGTGTGTGTGTGTGTGTGTGTGTGTGTGTGTGTGTGTGTGTGTGTGTGTGTGTGTGTGTGTGTGTGTGTGTGTGTGTGTGTTGTGTGTTGCCCTCAATTCTTTTTGGTTCAATACATAAATTACACTTTTCATTTACCATTCTTTTTCAGCACAGTTTACTTCCATCTCCATTCAGGTACGGAACTATTCTGGGCTTTGGCTCTTGAGGGATCTGCGAAGTCAATGGACCTTCCTTGTTCTTCGTCTCTATATCACAAGACACCAGGCAGCTTCGAACTGCTGACCCTCATCTCCAAGAGACAGAAACTCAGCTGAGTCATCCTGACGGTGACCACAAAGTTGAGTAAGTGACACTGCTTCGTCAGGTCAAGGCTATGTATACTCCTCTCCTAAGGATCCATGTCAGAAAGAAAAGAAAAATGGAACCCGATTCATTATGTTTACAATAGACACACACTGAACCGCACCGAAGAAAGCTATTTACCAAATATTCTGTAATTCAGGAAGTCCATGTCTTTTTTCCTTTCTTTCTTCATATCTAAACTCAAAATTATTGCTCCACATTATGATGGAGTAACATAAAATCCTGCTACATTTATATTCACTTTGTACTTTGGTTACCATAGAAGTACAATATTTTTTAGTATGAATATGGCTAAAAATCAGTGAACCAGAGACCTCATATATTTTATTTTCTAATATTTACAAAGAATAAAACTGTAAAAAAAATCATAGTCAAATACTAACTTCTAGGATGGAGATAAAACAATGGATGCATTTTTTTCTTTCTTTCTTTTATTCATTACGAGAAAATGAGACCCTGTGAATGAATGATACAGCAAATATGGGGAGAGGGAGGGAAGCATTGTATTTTGTCGTTATTTTTTTTTTTCGAAATGAGAATGGCTAAGGCCGATGACTGTACATGTATATATATATATATATTAAAAAAATAGGTGATACAGCATTAAAGCTAAAACATGTTATTGGACATTGTGCCGTAAAATGGTCAGCTATGTACTCTAAGAGGTTTTAAGGGGATTTCACAGTTCAATCTTCACATTTCTTCTTTCACCCAACTAAAATATCAATATGCAAGACACAAATCAAAAGATGGTTCCAAAATATATATATAAAATATTTTTAAAATGTTTTACAATTCATTGTGTATACATGTCAAAATATTTCATCTATTGTATCAGTATTCGTTCTGCTTTTACAGATTTTGCCATTACAAGCGCTAATATCTTTTAAATACAATTTGTAATGAAACCGGGGTATAATAAAGTCACTGCATATAACATTTTCAACAGTTTCCTTTTTATTATATTTTGTGTGTGTGTGTGTGTGTGTGTGTGTGTGTGTGTGTGTGTGTGTGTGTGTGTGTGTGTGTGTGTGTGTGTGTGTGTGTGTGTGTGTGTGTGTGTGTGTGTGTGTGTGTGTTGGGTATTGCTTTGTTGCTTACCAAATGTTTTTTCCTACCTGTGATTTTATATGAGCGCTAAATATAATAATTTATGATTACTTAAGTAAAAATGCACTAAAATCCTTTTCATATCTGCAAGATAAATATGTACATCTCCAATCTATCAGTTTCTTATACAAATATGTACTCAGTCTTCTTCGAGGAATCCCACCCCCGAAAAAAAGGTGAAAAAAATGTACAATGAGGTTGAATACAGACTTGTGTGTTCCTACTGCCTCTCACAACAAAGGTTCCAATTATGAAAACATTAATCCCTAAAAAAGACAACTACTTCCTCTGAGATCAACTTTTGTGTCTCTCTTCTTCTGTTCCTTCCTCGGCTGATTTTTAGCACAAGAAACAGGGAAGGACTTAAAACACCACATAATACAAACAGTTTTTTCTCTTTCAAATGTCTTGCCAAATTTTCTATTTTTGAGAAGACCTTTCCCTTCTTTTTCCACAAAATATCAAAATAAAACATAAAACTTTCATTGTATAATCTTCTTTAAAAGTTTTATTTTTTGTCTTAGTTATGAAATCTAAAGCCTTGTGTATATATAAACTATTTTGATAATACTGTATATTACAAGTCATTTCAAATCATTTGCTTACAATTTGCACTAGCTCACTCCTTTCTTTTTTCTTTTACTTCTTGACTTCACTCTTTCCACCTTAATTTCTTCTTCTTTCCTATGTGAAACAAGGAAAACCCTACTTCCTACGTCCAGACAGGACATCCTCTCAGTTCTTGGATGTAGGCGTATTGGCATCACTGTCAGCATCTTTATCATTATCCTTTTCTCCATCGTAGAATTCATTCTCTGGTTCCACTCTGATGAAGAAATGAAAGCCATACTTTTATTTCAGTGTCAGTCCTAACTTCTACATTCCTGTTATTTCTAACAACTGTTATAAATAACAATCTAAAACTCCTATAACTGACCTCTTATCTTCTTCACTGATGTGTAGTCGAGAGTCTGGGTCAATCTCTTCCTCCTCTTTAATACTTAGGCCATCTCCTGGGACATCCTGCATCTGGACACTGAAAGATCAAGATTGTTGTTTTCCTTTTCCTTTTCTTTCATAAATGTATTTCCGAAAGTTATGAAATCAAATACAATAAATTTCCAGAATGACTTCCAATTCAAAGAGAGTGTAAATAACCTAATCCCACAGACACCTTTATAAAAGGACAAAGTGATTTAGGGTTTGAAGCTTGGGTCCACTGAATCATCTCCTTTAAGAAATTAATCAACTGATTCTCATAGCTAAAATAAACAGTTCAAGATAACTCCCAAAGCAAGAAGCACAAAAATTACCTAGGAGCATGTTGCACCATTCTTAAATTATCATACACATGCTTTACAATAGCATCCAGGTACTGCCGACTGTTTCCATTCTCCTGCCGCGTTATCACCTCTGGGTGGAGGGAGAAATCTGGAGCAAAGTACTGGAAATATTCTGTGGAGAAGAAAGATCCAGTTATGCTTTGGCTTCATGGGCCGCTTGATACATGTACAGGACTGATCTCGTGTATGAATATGATGCTCTAGATCGTTGTTATGTTTCCAATTTTCTTGGGTTACTTGATAAAGCATTATTTGAAGAATATGAGTATAAGGATGTGCATGTGCATGGCTATATGCAAGTGTGAATAAGCATGCATGTGTATGTGCAAATGTCCATTATGTATGTGTGATGAGGAGGGGAGAGAGGAAGTGAGAGTGGGAGTGAGGGAGTAAGGGAGAGGGAGGGAGAGGGAGAGGGAGAGGGAGAGGGGAGGGAGAGGGAGAGGGAGAGGAGAGGGAAAGGGAAAGGGAAAGGGAGAGGGAGAGGAGAAGGAGAGGGAGAGGGAGAGGGAGAGGGAGAGGGAGAGGTAGAAGGAGTGGGCATGGATGTCCATGAGTGTGTTTATGTGTGTGAAACAGAGAAAGTATATTTCCTTGTCATATACAAAATACATAGAGCATCAACTGAGTGCACAGTTGAAAACATTCTTGCTTATACCTGTGCTGTAAGGGATTTCTGTTGGCATGTCACTATCCACGAGCAATCCCGTTTCATAAGCCCAACATCTTGCAACATTTCTCGGAGTGTATCCACCACCTCCCAACACTAGTAGTGGAACACCAAATTTCTTTGTGAAGCTCACACACTCTCTTGAAAAAAAGAAAAATAATTTAAGTCATTTATCCGCAAGACCTGCAAGACCCGCAAGCCGTCCATCCCCCTCCTGTTGTAAAAAAAGACCTGATATTTCAAGTCTCACTACAGTAAATTTTCAGTTGCTGAAATTCCAAGGGCTTGATTTTACACACTAAAGAAAGGATATTTTCATGTAGTAAATAAAATACAAAGAGCATCATTCTTGCAGTTACCACTCCTATGTAAAAGAAAATGCAAAGAAGTCACGGTCAACATACAGTGCAACAAAATCAAATGTTTATCATATAAAATATACATATTCATAATTACCAAGAATCATATGTAAAAAAGAATTCAAATACCAGTAGTTTAACACTGATATGTAATAGCAATGTTCTTCTTCCATAAATAGCTGACTTTCTATTCTTTCATTCTTTCTTAGCTGTATCTTGACCTGCACTAACACCTTTGGTGGTATAAATCTCAATTTTTTCAGTTTGGCTCTTCATATAGCTTACTACAATAATAATAATATTAATGGTAAGGTATCTGAAGCAGAAATGTGAGAGAGGAAAAGACAGGGTTTGGTTGGATGAAATATATCATACAGTACCAGAATCACTAATTCACTCACTACGTTCCATTCACAATTAGAAAGAGTGAGAAAACGCAACAGTCTGACTGGCTGAGGGAAAAAGGAGGAGCCTACAAGAGGTATGAGGGCAATATCATGGGTGTGGTCATGAGGGAACTTGCCAAACATTAGCAGATATATTAGTTGACACCACAAATGCCTCACTGATAATAAAAATGTCACAGAACAAAAGGCCACCATCTTCTGATAGCCCCCCCCCCCACATTCAACAATCATAGCAAACAGTATAGTACTCATTGTGCATTTTGCTTTGACCCTGGTGAATAGGATTCTGCCTCACCCTTCTAATATATATAATCCAAAAAGATATACTAATAACAAAAGAATCACAATGAGTACAACAGACTGGAAAAATCTACAGAACCTCCATAAATTCTATGACAAACATACAAACAAATAAAACAAAAAATAAATATATAAACACTAACACACAAAGTTTGACACACATACCCATGGCCCTTCGTGGAGAGTGAGAAGCAGCCAAGTCGGTCTCCAGAAAGGGAATCTGCACCACACTGAAGGACAATGGCTGTTGGACGGTAGAATTCCATCACACCCTGGAGAGAGAAGAAATGTACATGGAACGTTTTTACATTATTAGTTTTCTTTCAATCCATCAACTCCGCGTTATTCCCTAAAGTTTTCCAAAGTTCAGAACCCTCATATCAGATTTATTACTGTTATTATTATTCAATATCAAAATTTGTTTTTGTATTTGTTTGTCCGGGCAAAAAAAAATCAATACAATAAATTCTTACATTACATTTCTTATTATTACTATACTTTCATATAGAGAATTTCAGGAAAATAAACCACCAAACACTCTCTGGAATTCTTTTCTTTTTGCATAACCCATTACAGACGGGTAAAACCATGGTACGATGTCCCAACAATCAGTACACGGACTCATAATGTGATGAGGCATTAACCAGCCTTGGCAATTATTCACCATATGATAGTGTGTAGCCACTGCCAAATGGTTAAATAATGACATTAATATTATTCTTCCCCCATCCCATTACGGCTAAGTTTCAGCAAATATATCAGCAAAACCACTCACTTCAATGACGGGTTTGAAGACCTGGATATAGCTGGCATCGTCAATACCCTCCTTTAAGGGTACATTCACTGAATAATATCTGCCACTCTCATGCCCAATTTCAAACATGTCACCTGTAAAGGGAATGTTACACAGAGCTTACACAGAGGTTGAGATTCAGACCCAGAAACCTTAATGAGTTGCAATTCTTTTTCTCTTTAACAAATTCATATCTAAAAAAAATAGCAAATCAAAAACTTTTGTTACCCATTATTCTGCATTTAGCTATGCATTAAAATCAATTATCCCTTTTATAAATATATTACTATACTAACCAGTTCCTGGGAAGAAATAATTTCCATATTTGTGGAAAGAAACTGTCATAACCCTGTCAGTGAGGTAGAAAGCCTCTTGTACTCCGTCACCATGATGAATGTCTATATCAATATACAGTACTCTTGGATGATATCTGGAACAAAGTAAATCAATTCTAAGATGACAAATCTTTTCAACAACAGTGAAGGAGTCTATATATCTACATTAAAATAACAAGTAAAAAAAAAGTTTTTGTCAATATGTTTCATTACTATAGACAGTTATCTAATCAAAATGACATGTCTTCAGGCAGATCCCAAACTTACTTTAACATTTCTAGAATGGCTATTACAATATCATTAACATAGCAGAATCCTGAGGCTTCAAATTTCTTGGCGTGATGCAAACCACCCGACCAATTGACTGCAATGTCGCAACAATTGTGGTTCAGCTTGACAGCTCCTTCTAATGAGGCTCCAGTGTACATGGAGCAGAAGTCATACAGGCCATCAAACACTGGGCTGTAGGTGCAAATATTCATTTCAGTCTTTACTGGGTTAACTTGCCCTATAATAAACCATGCTGATACAAAACATTTCTGGTAAAGGAACCATAACATACTCAGTTTTTTTCAGGATATGATATCAGTTAATGCAAAAGGAGTCTTCACAACAACATAACAAAAATCTTACCAGTCATCTGCCATATTAAACTGCCCTAAATTCTTTGTGAAGTTCTGAGCATTTTGCGGAGAAACACGCATAAGAAAATCTATGTACTCTTCGGAATGAAATCTGAAAGGAAATGTTTATGTGTCATATTTGTCACACAATACATGGAAGTTGTACAGTAACTTGATTCCAATACAATTACATTTATTCACATAACTTTCATGCAATATATTTCATAATCAAACATTAAAAAGAGAAATACACTAAACCTGTGCACAATAACAGGAGATTAGAAAATTTAGATAAGTAATCATGACCAAATGCAATGAACATACCTTGTCATATCATGAAAGTTTGCTCTGTAGGGTCTGTAGATTTGTAGCTTCTTGTACAGCCCATAATGTAAAACAAGACTGTGCGTAATGGATAGTCTGTGTGGTTTCATCGGATGCCCTGGGCCTGTTGGGGAAAGTGTGGTAGGTAAGTTTAGCTGTTCACAGAAGGTACAGGCAGTGTCTCACTTATGATACTGTTTAAAAAAAACAAATTATGAGTATTACCCATAAATCTAAAACATTTTTGCAAAATCTTCATCAAGCTGAAAGGCATTTTCTAATTGATTCTTTAATGAATCAATATATTTATAGCCTCACTCCTGTTGCAAAATTAGCTACTGATTAAGAACAAAAGGACCACATGCCCATAGCAAACGTTCATTGTGACTTCTGCACCTTCACCACTTAGAGAACCATTGACAGATTTTTATCATGTATATCCTGGTAAGATATGAGAAGGGAATGATTCCTTATTTAATGCTGAATCTGATACAAAATTGACAGACAAGCACTGCCTTGCTAGAATATACATGGAGTTTTATTAGTCTCCATAGTGGTCAATATCGACCTCTGGGGGTAGATGGGACTATCCAAGGGGTTGAGAAAGGCCTGGGTGTCAAAAAAAGGGTCAATAAATGCTGAGGTTATTTATAATTTGGGGGTCCAATGCTGACATTCCTATAGGAAATAAAAGTACATGAAATATAACTTGCTGATATGTTTCTAATTTATTTGTAATTAGTTTTTATTGTCTATTTCATAGTCTTGTCTATTTCATAGTTTCATAGGACTTGGTATGTGATTTCCCTTACCGAGATATATGGAACGCAGGATTTGGTATCTAGGTTCCCTCACTAAAGTATATGCAAGTATATATTTTTGTACATACCTGAAGTTTTATGGGAAATCAAGGATTCCATGAAGGGATTTGTTGTCTATAAAACTTTGGGACCACTGTGCTAGAAGCTCAGAGGCCATAATAATTAGTCGAGTCTCTTAACATGTAGATGTTTAATGTTCAATGTTTGGAAATAAATGTGCTAGACATCAAAGGTCATATAGCACTATGGTAAAGTATTGCGTCGGACAAGGCAAAGGAGAGTTAAAGATTAAGATGAAATGTGTTAGGTGTCAAAGGTTTGAGAGCATTATAGGATAGTATGGTAGTGAAAAGGGAAAAAAGGAGAACAAGTGAACTAGAGTAGAAATTAGTATAAAGGGGAGGATTAAGGAGGTAGGGCAACTGAGTGAATCATAGTGTATCTGTCACTGGGGAAGGTATAGGAAAAATGTTCAAGAATAGAGATAGCTGTTGAAGAGTAGGAGAAGAATCTGGGGAGAGGGGAAGGTGTTAGATGTCAAAGATTGGAGGGTGTTATAGGAAAGTATGGCAACGAACAGGGAAATGAGGGAAGTAAATGAAGTAGAGCAGTGATTAATAAATGGGAAAGGTTAAGGAAGTAGAGCGATTAAATGAATTGCATTGTATCTGTGACTGTAGAAGAAATAGGGATAATAGGTGAGAATGGTAGATATGGTTGTCTTAGTAGTAGGGGATTAGGTATCTGAGGGTTGAGATAAAGGATCAGGAGTAGGTGAAGGAGTAGTGTCCGCAGGTTCAATAGGGAAGGTGGGGTCTCCGGAAGGGTATTGTGATAAAAAAGAGTGTGTATCCAGGAGGGAGTGGGAGGGATAGTAGGGAAGGATGGGGTTTTGGAGGGGGCCTTGGTCTGGGTGGTTTGGCTGGTTGAGAGGAAGTATTTTGGGAAGGGGTTGGGGGAATATAAGGGGGTAGAGTTACTGAGTGAACTGTAGTGTATCTATGACTGGGGAAGGAATAGGGACATTGTTCAAGGAAAATAGAGGTGGCTGTCGGAGAAGTAGGAAGAGAAGGATCCAGGGAATGAGAATGGGGGACTGGGGAAGGTGGTAAAGTATCAGGAAGAATGTGTGAGTATTCAAGTGGGAATGTTGGGAGAGTGTAGGAGGAAGGGGGGTGGAGGAAACTTGAGGAGGAGGAGGAGGAAGATGGATATCTGCAAATATTTCAAATGTAGGAGTAGGAACAAAGGGATTGGGGGTGGATAAGGGAACAGAGTGTTCCCTTGAGCCATCTTTAGGAAGTTTAGGATGTCTTCAAGGGTTTCTGGAAGGGAGTTGGGTAAAGAGGACTGAGAAACAAAGGTTCTCTTATAAGGAAGAGAAGAGGAGACAGAAATCTGAGGAACAGAAGAAGAGGAAGGTGTAGAAGAGAATCTAGTAGGAGAGCATGGAGTGGAACGTTTAGGTTGCCTGGTACAAAAAACTGAAGTGAGGCAGAGGGGTAGGTATCGGGGAAGTGGTAGAAACTGGAGTATCTAGATTTAGAATGGAAAACGGATTTCACTGGTGGATAGGGTGAGTAGGCATAGGAGGTAGGTTTAGGGTATTGGGGAGAGATCCCTGAGGAGATGCAGAAATATCTTCTGAAGATGGTGGGGGAGCAGAGCGAAGGACTGTTTTGGAATAATTTGAGAGAGAAACCTCATCGTCGTTCTTCCTGTCTGGCCTCATGAAGAGTGAGGCCTAGTTTAAATCTGAGGACTGCTACCTCACATTTGAGTTTATAGGCAGGGCAGCTCCAATAAAATACATTATGGGAGTCTCCATAATTGGGACATGCACGTGACTGAGCAAGGCAATTTGAACAGTAATGACCAGGTTGGGCACATAGAGGGCTGAAGCTGTGGAGCGACAATGTTTGGTTGGGTGGCCAAAACGCCAACATTTACGACATTGATGAGGAAGGGGTCGATATTGTCGAACATGATAAGACAATCCACCAATAAAAACCTCATGGGGGAGGTTTTGTCTGTGGAAGCAAATCTTGGCAATATTGACATGGGATTTACTCTGACCTCTGGGAGGAATAGTGTAACTCTGTACTGCCAATGCATCATATTCAGCAAGGCAGGAAAGTAGGTCGTTTTCAGTTTGATCAGTTCTTGTTGTAATTAGGACAAGCATTTGGGGGAATAGAAACAGTTCTTGTACAAGTATTAAGAGAGGGGGTGAGGTTTGGCAGGAATGGGTTTGCCTGTGAGGTCAGTTAGGGTAGATTGTACACGAGCTTGGGATGCAGATGTAACTGTGACAAGGCGTGAACAATCGGAGTGACTGCGAAAGGTAACCTCGCCTACTTGTTTTTGGAGACATTGTTGATAGAGAAGGATATTCTCAGAAAAGGGGGCTGTGGGGAGAATCACAAAGAATCAATCCCACTTGGCTGGACCAAAGAGAGTACTCAAAAGGTTTGCAGAGGTTGAGGCAGTAGAAGGACAAGGGAGAGACGAAGATGGGGTGGTGTGGAGTGTAATAGTTCTGTGGGGGAAGTACAGTAAGGATGAAGAATAGTAATAAGGGAAGAGGGGGTAGACAGTGAAGAAGACTGTGCAACAGGAGATGAAGAGGAGAATGTTGGGGAAGAGGAAAGGGTGCTTTCTGGAGGTTGAGTAATAACCTGGGTGGGTGTTTTGGAATGGATAGAGTTGTTCGTAAGCATCAAAGAGGAGGTATTAGTATCAGTGGTCGGAGCCGTGGTCAAAGGAGGGGCAAGGGTCGGAAAACCATTAAAACCAAATTCAGATAGGCTATATGATAAAGGGGCAAGCCTTAATGCCCCTATTAAGGGTAAAGAATCTTCGTTACTGGCCATGATGAGCCTGAATAAACTTAGGAAAAGAAACGGTCTACCCTAAGGGTCCCCATAAGGGGTAAGGGCTACGTAATTAATCAAGGGAATACCGTGCCCATGGCTCCCAGAGGTCGTTCGTGACTGACACAACGCCAGCCTTTCATCCTTTCAACACGGCTCTCACACCTTAGGAATGGGATAGAAGGGAATAAAGATATGGAAGAGGAAAGAAGAGAAGAAAGGACCAAGCAAAATTAGTTAAGGCAAGGGCTGAGGCCCAAGGTAGTGGTGGGTCTCAGTCCTCGTCTCCTAAGCCCACCCACGACGACAACAAACTAGGGTTTGGGAGGGTCTTAACCCAATAACCCACATATGAGACACCCAAAAAAATAAACATTGCCAGGTGTCCCACCAGTGTGACGCTGTATTGGGGCTCGTGCTCCAACGCAGCAGCGGGCCACGGCCGGCCGGCGGATAGACTCCGAGGAAGCTCCACCCACCGATTTTGTAGCCGCCTAGAATCTTTTATTTTTGGCTTCAAAATATACCAGCATTAATGGGTTAAAACATAAAACACCTCTATCAACCCACCCGCAACAGAATTTCCCCACGCCATACTAAACCTTCACACACTGTCTGCTGTTTGAGTGAAAAATTATTAGTGGGGAAATATATACTTAATATGTTTTCTAGGCCCCTGGCTAGACGATATGAGATTTTTTATGAGATGAAGATATTTTTCTAGAATCTATCTGCATCTTCAAAGTTACCAAAGCTAGTGTCAATGGTCTGCAGTCACTTATGATGACACTTTTGCAGTCCAGGTAGGAAAGACAAAAATACACAATTAATTATCTACTTTTCAAATAATACTTCATACCCTCCCTAATTATCTAATCTTGTATCATCACTATTGTTGCCTAGTGCTAATCATAACCACTATAAATATAAATCAGACATCATGAGAAATCCATTGATACCAAAATCAAGGGATTTTAAGAAAATTACCTGGCTCTATAAATTACTGAAATGAGGCTAAAAGAGATTTTAAAGCTACTATTGATGGGCAGTGCTTCCTCTGTGACTGCAGCATGGGCAAAACAAGAGCACAAAAGTAAATGCTTTTTGGTCACTACCCAAGGGGAACGTTGATGAGGAGCTCTGCCCCCATAAAATGTACAAACATTAGTGAGGGTTGATAAAAATCCATGCCTCCCCTATGCAATGCTATTTTCTCTTTTTCTGCATAAGCGTTTTTAGCCTTTTTTTGCCCTATTCCAATGTTTTTATTTGCCATTTGATTTACTTTCCAGATGGTAACAGACTGTTCTCCATATACAGACTCCATATCATCTCTCTAGGTAGTCCATAACCCAGTGCAATAATAATCATTAACATAATGTATCATTAAAGAAAAAAAAATGCAATATTCAATTTTCTGTGAATGCCCCACCATTCACAGCCAGCAGGAATATGATCAACCATATTCTTCCAAGAGAGCATGGGAAGATATGGCTATAATGCAATTTTTTTTTCACTATTAAATGATAATAATAAGGAAAACTTAGAGGCCTTTCTGATTTATTGTCAATCTTTGAGCCTTTAATTTCATTCTCATTTCAATTTTCTATTCTAATAACACAAATGGCACTGCAATTTCACAGATGCAAGAAATACAAATGTAGGAATACCACATTACATTTCAAAAAATCAAATCAAAATTATCATCACAGCATAAGTAAGCATCATAATAATAATGGTACCAATGGATTCCTCTCACCCTCTAATACACAAAAATGTAGGACATTTCCAATGGTGCCCTCCCAAACTCCCAGATTCTTGGTTCTGATAGCAGGGGAGAACATGAAAGGTACCTGAGAAATTTGGGGTAAAACCAATAAAATTCAAAGAACTAGTCACTATATTGCAACTCTCCCTCCTGCTCACTGCAGGCATGTTAACGAGCAAAAGAAAGTGGAAAAATAAAATCCTGTTGCATTTCACTTCGTATGATAAAAAAAAAGGAGAATAGAAAATCCTGAGATAAGATTCGGCCCCTAAAGATTCGACACTGCATGAGAATGAACCCTTCCTAAACGCACAAACGATCAGGAAGAACGCCATGTGAACCAAAAACCAAAAAGCCATATTTCTGTAACAGGGGCTTTGCCCCCAGACCCCCTCCCGATCCCCATATTTCGCTACCAGGGGATTCTGCCCCCAAAGCCCCTTCCAATCATGGCTGGACCCCTGTAGTCTCTATACAATAATTTCAAAACAATATCCCCTTCTAGTAGCTTACCATTTTTACCTCAAGTTTAGCTGCTGTCAAGAGGAACTGGTGGAAACACTTGTTGGGCTCTGGGAAATGCATCATGAATAATCAATCAATTCTGCTCTTATTTCCACATTTTGCATAACTCAAAGGTTCACTTTGCACACTATGACTTATGCAAATGTCAATAACTTTCAAAGAATTTTCACTATATTAGCTTGAAAGGACCATGGCCAAGATCACATTCAGCACAAAACATACCAGTGACTGTCAAAGAATAGTTAAGGAACTGTCGAAAATCCCAGTTGGGAAACTGCACATATGCAAAAAAGCTGTTAAAACAATAAATCCAAATTAATTCATAACAAGAATATTTTGTTTTTCATAATATTACATAAAAATACAAGATGCCCAAATATAGTGGAACATATGGGAACAAATAGGAAAAAACTTAATTTCACAAGCATGTAGTAACATACAAACTAGTTGACACAGCTCAGTAATGAGTTGTGCAGTTAGTTTACTATTCAAGACCATGGTGTAAACATGTAGAGCGACTTCGAAAAAATCGCTTTGCACAAGAAGTTTAAATGCTTCTTGTAACCACAATATAGGAGAGCACTCATTGTTTTCACTTTCATAGCACTGTTTACATCATATAGAAGTGGAATTTGTATTTCTCTTTATGATATAGTGCGCGTAGATATCCTCTAGTCTTACCTCATATTTTACCCCGCAATTTTTCTTATAGCATTCATACCCTCCCCTGCTATCATCACCAAGACTGTGGATGTTGGGGAGGTTTCCACAGCATAACTTCTATATAACTGGATAGCAGATGGTGAGAGGAATCCATTATTACACAATACTATCATAATTGGTCATCTGAAGGTATTCCATATATTTACTCAACGAAAGATCATGGGTCAATAACAACGGAAATATTTGTTCTAGTTAGTAGCATTAACTCTGAAATGTGGTAACAGCACAAATCATGTATGAAATAACGGTAATACTAATTAAGGCATGCGTGCTACATATGCAGAGGAAAGTATAATAGTATTATTGACTAGTGTTCGTACATGTCGGTGAAGCTAAAAAAATTGTGGGGAACTCAGAGTTGTGCTTTAATTGAAATTCAAAAGTTGCCTCTCCGAGAGAAAAAAACAGTCCACAAACCTCGTTATTACAAACCTTATCGAATGTAAACAATACTGTGAGCTTTCTCAAAAGTTCATAAATGTTGCTGCGTATCCCCATTAAATTTGTATCATATTTAAAAAACATTTGATAATACAAATCTTATATTTCTTGTATTTGATATGTTCATAATATCTATCTCTAATATATATATATATATATATATATATATATATATATATATATATATATATTATATATATATATATATATATATATATATATATATATATATATATATATATATATATATATATATATATATATATATATATATTATATATATATATATATATATATATATATATATATATATATATATATATATATATATATATATATATATATATATATATATATATATATATATATATATATATTATATATATATATATATATATATATATATATATATATATATATATATATATATATATATATATATTATATTATATATATATATATATATATATATATATATATATATATATATATATATATATATATATATATATATATATATATATATATATATATATATATATATTATATTATATATATATATATATATATATATATATATATATATATATATATATATATATATGTATATATATATATATATATATATATATATGTATATATATATATATATATATATATATATATATATATATATATATATATATATATATATATATATATATATATATATATATATATATATATATATATATATATATATATATATATATATATATATATATATATATATATATATATATATATATATATATATATATATATATATATATATATGTATATATATATATATATATATATATATATGTATATATA